CTACTACAGTCAAACACATGTTGGTCTGTGATATGTATCTGTATCCTGCTCCACTACTACAGTCAAACACATGTTGGTCTGTGATATGTAGCTGTATCCTGCTCCACTACTACAGTCAAACACATGTTGGTCTGTGATATGTAGCTGTATCCTGCTCCACTACTACAGTCAAACACATGTTGGTCTGTGATATGTATCTGTATCCTGCTCCACTACTACAGTCAAACACTTGTTGGTCTGTGATATGTATCTGTATCCTGCTCCACTACTACAGTAAAAAACACATGTTGGTCTGTGATATGTAGCTGTATCCTGCTCCACTACTACAGTCAAACACATGTTGGTCTGTGATATGTATCTGTATCCTGCTCCACTACTACAGTCAAACACTTGTTGGTCTGTGATATGTATCTGTATCCTGCTCCACTACTACAGTCAAACACATGTTGGTCTGTGATATGTATCTGTATCCTGCTCCACTACTACAGTCAAACACATGTTGGTCTGTGATATGTATCTGTATCCTGCTCCACTACTACAGTCAAACACATGTTGGTCTGTGATATGTATCTGTATCCTGCTCCACTACTACAGTCAAACACATGTTGGTCTGTGATATGTATCTGTATCCTGCTCCACTACTACAGTCAAAACACTTGTTGGTCTGTGATATATGTATCTGTATCCTGCTCCACTACTACAGTCAAACACTTGTTGGTCTGTGATATGTATCTGTATCCTGCTCCACTACTACAGTCAAACACATGTTGGTCTGTGATATGTATCTGTATCCTGCTCCACTACTACAGTCAAACACATGTTGGTCTGTGATATGTATCTGTATCCTGCTCCACTACTACAGTCAAACACATGTTGGTCTGTGATATGTATCTGTATCCTGCTCCACTACTACAGTCAAACACTTGTTGGTCTGTGATATGTATCTGTATCCTGCTCCACTACTACAGTCAAACACATGTTGGTCTGTGATATGTATCTGTATCCTGCTCCACTACTACAGTCAAACACATGTTGGTCTGTGATATGTATCTGTATCCTGCTCCACTACTACAGTCAAACACTTGTTGGTCTGTGATATGTATCTGTATCCTGCTCCACTACTACAGTCAAACACATGTTGGTCTGTGATATGTATCTGTATCCTGCTCCACTACTACAGTCAAACACATGTTGGTCTGTGATATGTATCTGTATCCTGCTCCACTACTACAGTCAAACACATGTTGGTCTGTGATATGTATCTGTATCCTGCTCCACTACTACAGTCAAACACTTGTTGGTCTGTGATATGTATCTGTATCCTGCTCCACTACTACAGTCAAACACACATGTTGGTCTGTGATATGTATCTGTATCCTGCTCCACTACTATCCTGCTCCACTACTACAGTCAAACACATGTTGGTCTGTGATATGTATCTGTATCCTGCTCCACTACTACAGTCAAAAACACTTGTTGGTCTGTGATATGTAGCTGTATCCTGCTCCACTACTACAGTCAAAAACACTTGTTGGTCTGTGATATGTATCTGTATCCTGCTCCACTACTACAGTCAAACACATGTTGGTCTGTGATATGTATCTGTATCCTGCTCCACTACTACAGTCAAACACATGTTGGTCTGTGATATGTATCTGTATCCTGCTCCACTACTACAGTCAAACACATGTTGGTCTGTGATATGTATCTGTATCCTGCTCCACTACTACAGTCAAACACATGTTGGTCTGTGATATGTATCTGTATCCTGCTCCACTACTACAGTCAAAACACATGTTGGTCTGTGATATGTATCTGTATCCTGCTCCACTACTACAGTCAAACACTTGTTGGTCTGTGATATGTATCTGTATCCTGCTCCACTACTACAGTCAAACACTTGTTGGTCTGTGATATGTATCTGTATCCTGCTCCACTACTACAGTCAAACACTTGTTGGTCTGTGATATGTATCTGTATCCTGCTCCACTACTACAGTCAAACACTTGTTGGTCTGTGATATGTATCTGTATCCTGCTCCACTACTACAGTCAAACACATGTTGGTCTGTGATATGTATCTGTATCCTGCTCCACTACTACAGTCAAACACATGTTGGTCTGTGATATGTATCTGTATCCTGCTCCACTACTACAGTCAAACACATGTTGGTCTGTGATATGTATCTGTATCCTGCTCCACTACTACAGTCAAACACATGTTGGTCTGTGATATGTATCTGTATCCTGCTCCACTACTACAGTCAAACACATGTTGGTCTGTGATATGATATGTATCTGTATCCTGCTCCACTACTACAGTCAAACACATGTTGGTCTGTGATATGTATCTGTATCCTGCTCCACTACTACAGTCAAACACATGTTGGTCTGTGATATGTATCTGTATCCTGCTCCACTACTACAGTCAAACACATGTTGGTCTGTGATATGTATCTGTATCCTGCTCCACTACTACAGTAAAAACACATGTTGGTCTGTGATATGTATCTGTATCCTGCTCCACTACTACAGTCAAACACTTGTTGGTCTGTGATATGTATCTGTATCCTGCTCCACTACTACAGTCAAACACATGTTGGTCTGTGATATGTATCTGTATCCTGCTCCACTACTACAGTCAAACACATGTTGGTCTGTGATATGTATCTGTATCCTGCTCCACTACTACAGTCAAACACATGTTGGTCTGTGATATGTATCTGTATCCTGCTCCACTACTACAGTCAAACACATGTTGGTCTGTGATATGTGTATCTGTATCCTGCTCCACTACTACAGTCAAACACATGTTGGTCTGTGATATGTATCTGTATCCTGCTCCACTACTACAGTCAAACACTTGTTGGTCTGTGATATGTATCTGTATCCTGCTCCACTACTACAGTCAAACACATGTTGGTCTGTGATATGTATCTGTATCCTGCTCCACTACTACAGTCAAACACTTGTTGGTCTGTGATATGTATCTGTATCCTGCTCCACTACTACAGTCAAACACATGTTGGTCTGTGATATGTATCTGTATCCTGCTCCACTACTACAGTCAAACACATGTTGGTCTGTGATATGTATCTGTATCCTGCTCCACTACTACAGTCAAACACTATGTTGGTCTGTGATATGTATCTGTATCCTGCTCCACTACTACAGTCAAACACATGTTGGTCTGTGATATGTATCTGTATCCTGCTCCACTACTACAGTCAAACACTTGTTGGTCTGTGATATGTATCTGTATCCTGCTCCACTACTACAGTCAAACACATGTTGGTCTGTGATATGTATCTGTATCCTGCTCCACTACTACAGTAAAACACATGTTGGTCTGTGATATGTATCTGTATCCTGCTCCACTACTACAGTCAAACACATGTTGGTCTGTGATATGTATCTGTATCCTGCTCCACTACTACAGTCAAACACATGTTGGTCTGTGATATGTATCTGTATCCTGCTCCACTACTACAGTCAAACACTTGTTGGTCTGTGATATGTATCTGTATCCTGCTCCACTACTACAGTAAAACACTTGTTGGTCTGTGATATGTATCTGTATCCTGCTCCACTACTACAGTCAAACACTTGTTGGTCTGTGATATGTATCTGTATCCTGCTCCACTACTACAGTCAAACACTTGTTGGTCTGTGATATGTATCTGTATCCTGCTCCACTACTACAGTCAAACACTTGTTGGTCTGTGATATGTATCTGTATCCTGCTCCACTACTACAGTCAAACACTTGTTGGTCTGTGATATGTATCTGTATCCTGCTCCACTACTACAGTCAAACACTTGTTGGTCTGTGATATGTATCTGTATCCTGCTCCACTACTACAGTCAAACACATGTTGGTCTGTGATATGTATCTGTATCCTGCTCCACTACTACAGTCAAACACTTGTTGGTCTGTGATATGTATCTGTATCCTGCTCCACTACTACAGTCAAACACATGTTGGTCTGTGATATGTAGCTGTATCCTGCTCCACTACTACAGTCAAACACATGTTGGTCTGTGATATGTATCTGTATCCTGCTCCACTACTACAGTCAAACAGATGTTGGTCTGTGATATGTAGCTGTATCCTGCTCCACTACTACAGTCAAACACTTGTTGGTCTGTGATATGTATCTGTATCCTGCTCCACTACTACAGTCAAACACATGTTGGTCTGTGATATGTATCTGTATCCTGCTCCACTACTACAGTCAAACACATGTTGGTCTGTGATATGCAGCTGTATCCTGCTCCACTACTACAGTCAAACACATGTTGGTCTGTGATATGTATCTGTATCCTGCTCCACTACTACAGTAAAAACACATGTTGGTCTGTGATATGTGTCTGTATCCTGCTCCACTACTACAGTCAAACACTTGTTGGTCTGTGATATGTATCTGTATCCTGCTCCACTACTACAGTCAAACACATGTTGGTCTGTGATATGTATCTGTATCCTGCTCCACTACTACAGTCAAACACTTGTTGGTCTGTGATATGTATCTGTATCCTGCTCCACTACTACAGTCAAACACTTGTTGGTCTGTGATATGTATCTGTATCCTGCTCCACTACTACAGTCAAACACATGTTGGTCTCTGATATGTGTCTGTATCCTGCTCCACTACTACATTCAAACAGATGTTGGTCTGTGATATGTAGCTGTATCCTGCTCCACTGCTACAATTTACAGTGAAACATTTGTGGGTCTCTGATATTTAGCTGCCAAATAGCGCTCAGAGCTAGTATTGATTGCTTTTGTATATTCTAAAGCAGTTCCTAACAGGAAACATAAAGGAGTTGAGTTAGTGTATAATTCTATCATGATAATAGTGTCCATGGCAGGGCAGATTTAATTCTTCCTTCTGTTTCATAATGTGGCTTTTCATCCATTGTTTTGATTATAGTAGTCGTGTCTTATCTGATATGGTCTGAAAACAAGTTTTAATTAATCTGTTTTTTGTTTTCTGTTTAGACCCACTTACTCACTGATCGACAGCTGAGTGGGGACAGTGGGCGTGGCAGTCTGACCGAAGGTGACCCGAGTCCAGCCCCTCTCTCCCCCTCCAGTCAGTCCCCGCTCAAGTTTGAACCTGTGGAGGAGAAGGAGGAGGAGGCTAAACAAGGGTTGGGGCCAGAACTAAGAAGTGGCAGCAGCCTTCCTCGGGACTACACGAAGGTGGCCGACACAAGCGGTGGTGGACCTCCATCCATCAACTGCCTTCATGTGGAGTGTCCTCCTCACAATCCCTGGAACGATTCTGATGACTCTGTGGACGAGGAGAGTTTCAGCAACAAGGGTTATGATGAGTATGTTATCGCAGCTAACAAGGATGGGGATGGGGAGGAGGAAAAGGGTGTTAATCCAGGTTTTGTTCTGGATGCAGAAGGGGAAAAGTCTGAGTCTGATGCACCTTGTCAGGAGGACCTGTATCTTGGGGAGGAACATTGTCATGGTGTTCCTCTCACAGAAGTTGCATCACGCATCAATGAAGTGCAAGTGACAGGTGACCTCAGTACGGAAATGTCTGATATGGACAATTTCTCCGAGGGTTTGGAAGTTCCAGATGTAGAGCACCAATGGTAGTCACTAGCAGGAAGAAACAGTGCAGGTGAAGATGTCAGCACCCTGAAATCACAACCAGAAAAGCCTCACATGTCTCAACAAGGAGAAACCTCAAATATGGATGACAGTCATCTGAGAAGACAGCGAGAGCCCCTTCCATGATACTACAAAGAGAAATGATTCATATATGGATGACAGTCATCTAAGAACACAACCAGGCGTCCCATATACGTTTTGCCAAGAATCCAGAAATCCCCTAACGCAATCAGACACAGTGGAACCAAAGATTTCCATTCCAGTAAGCAAGGACAAGATGACCAGTATGAGTGAATTAGAGGAGGGTCTTGGGTCTTGGGTCTTGCAGCAGTTCTTACTCTTCTGACATCTCCAGGAGTTAGCTGACATGACTAGATTGTACCCAGGAAACCATCAGTTGTTTGACTCAACTCCTCATCAGACACTAGGTCTCCTCAGTTGTCTTGGTTACTGTATGTTTTTGCTGTTCTGCAGCATCAGCTGTAATGATGTCTGGATGTACTCCACTTTCGTCTTGTAGCCATGGTCCTTGAAGCAGGACACTTCCACCTTTGTGGAGCTGCGGTGCTGAGATTATTTACACAAGTGCTTCACACAGCTCTTCGGAGACAACAGACAACAGGCCAGAACAAGTGGTCAGATTGAGTGACTTATTTGACGGATGCCATCATATCTACTTGTGAAGATCTATGACCATGATGTCTGTCACTGGAATGTTTGATCTAGAGTTAATTATTACGGACCGTCAAAATATGGCGTGAATATTGCTGTGTATACCGGTATATGTATATATTACTATTTCATCACTAGGTCGTCACCATAGTTGTGTGAATGAATTACAAGTACGACCATGGTGATCACTAAAGTGTTATTAATAGTCATAATGCATTATTGCCATTCACTGAATTATCATGTATCATTTGAATTATTCTAAACATTCCCTGAAGTATGTCAACTATCACTGAAGTATTGTCAACTATCACTGAAGTATGTCAACTATCACTGATCAACTATCACTGAAGTATTGAAGTATTGTCAACTATCACTGAAGTATGTCAACTATCACTGAAGTATGTCAACTATCACTGAAGTATTGTCAACTATCACTGAAGTATGTCAACTATCACTGAAGTATTGTCAACTATCACTGAAGTATTGTCAACTATCACTGATCAACTATCACAGAAGTATTGAAGTATTGTCAACTATCACTGAAGTATTGTCAACTATCACTGAAGTATTGTCAACTATCACTGATCAACTATCACTGAAGTATTGTCAACTATCACTGAAGTATTGTCAACTATCACTGATAACTATCACTGAAGTATTGTCAACTATTGTGAAGTATAATTCTTTGTCATTTAAACAAAAACATTGTGCCATTAAACTGTGAGATAGCTTGCTGGGTCTAGACAGTTAATCCTCATATATAGTCCTAGGCCAAATGCTAGAAAAGTCCTTATCTGTTAAGATCTCTCATCAACAGTAAAAGTGTTGTCCAGTAATTAGTATGATAAGTCCCAGCACTAGCCACAGAATGTATCAGGTTACTAAAAAACAACAAGGTTTACCCTAGTGTTGAAACAAGTCCCAGCACTAGCCACAGAATGTATCAGGTTACTTAAAAACAACAAGGTTTACCCTAGTGTTGAAACAAGTCCCAGCACTAGCCACAGAATGTATCAGGTTACTTAAAAATGTATCAACCAGGTTTACTCCTAGTGTTGAAACAAGTCCCAGCACTAGCCACAGAATGTATCAGGTTACTAAAAAACAACAAGGTTTACCCTAGTGTTGAAACAAGTCCCAGCACTAGCCACAGAATGTATCAGGCTACTAAAAAACAACAAGGTTTACCCTAGTGTTGAAACAAGTCCCAGCACTAGCCACAGAATGTATCAGGTTACTAAAAAACAACAAGGTTTACCCTAGTGTTGAAACAAGTCCCAGCACTAGCCACAGAATGTATCAGGTTACTTAAAAAACAACAAGGTTTACCCTAGTGTTGAAACTGTGTTCACATGTTCATAGAACAATTAAGTGAGTATCAACCACTTTTAATGGATGGTGACAATTACTAGTGTTCAACAGGGTCAAGATGTGCAGTATGGTGATAACGCTGGGTTTATCATATTACCTGATGTCTCTACATTTGGCATAGGGGCATGTACCTGCTGATGAAATGTTATCATTTAGTGTTTTATGTCCTGTATTTTTGTAATTCTACACTTAATCTGCCTCAATGGTAAATAGGACATTTTTCCTGTGGAGGACATGTATGCCTTTTTTCTTGGTTCCACTGACCCTGCAGGTTTGATTAACGTGGGGATATGGTGTGAAGCTGATATCCCCTCTCTGACTTTGCTATGAGCAATGTAAACTCACTCACTCACTTGTCAGTATTCATAATATATTTACATTGGTAACAGATTGATAAACAATTGAATGGTCACTGTAGTCATGGTAACCTGTATTGATCGCTGCTCATGGTATCACTCACTGGTTTGTCTGATGCAAGTATTTACTGGATAATTCAGAGTGTGGTGCTGAATAACAAACATTTCATCTGTATGCTTGAACTGCCTACATTTTACTCAGAGGCATTTTTTGACAAAGGCCAGACACTTTTGATTAGTATATTTTTTTATTAAAAAATTGTTTTTTAAAGTTTTTCATATCTTTAAGCTTTGTTCCTTGGAGATGCTGCACTATCACATGTTTTTTTCAACCTAAGGCTCCGCTCATTGTTTCAAACATTCCATCAGATTTCAATTAAAATATTTTTACTCACAATGATATCACCAATATATTTTGCATCATTTTCAGTGAGCAATATGTTACAGAAGTGATACAGTTTGACTGTTATATGATGCTTTTCTGTGAAAAACACTTTGAAAACTGTTGTACATTTTTGTATACAAGTTGTATGTTCTATTGATTTACAATCGTGTGATATACGTGTTATAATTGTTTTGTTAATTTTTGTTGATGATTATGTTAATGTCCACAGTCTTGGTGATGGACAAACTGTTTTCACTATTTTGTATCAAACCATAATGTGTGTAAATAATAATAATTTCAATCGGTGTTTTGTGGCTCAATGGTAAGATAAAATATCAAGAAAGAAGAAAAGGTATATTTCTGAAAGTTTCTTTCATGACATTTTTCATATACATGTAGAAATTGGGGCTGTCGTCTTGGTTAAACCCCCTACATGAGCACAATGTGTGAAGCCCATTTGTGGTGTCCCCCGCCATGATGTTGCTAAAAACAGCATAAAACCATACTCACTCACTCTTGGTTAAACCGTGTGAACGTCATATCACTGTATATCATATATATTTACTCTAAAAAACAATAAAAGGAGTTTGTTCACCATTAAAAATATCATGTAATCATGTACATTTGTGTAGACCCTGAATGTGCTTGCGTGCGTGTACTTTAGTATGTTCTACACTGTCATAACCCTTGCCATCTTTATAGTGTCTTCCATTTTTCACTTTTTCCAGTTTACAAATCATTCATTGTATTTCATACACCCATGAGATATATATGGAAATAACTAACATCACACATTCATTGACTGAAATAGTTGTTTGAAAATAAAAAGGTGATCGACTATTGTTGGTTTTGTCTTATATTTTTCTGTGGCTGTTTGAGGAATTTATTTCAGGCATTGTGTTGCTTTGAGATGCATCACAGACAAATGCAGGTGTGGATTAATGGTTAAGACTCGGCTATGTGACAGGGCGGAAGGCCAGGGCTACATGCTCACCATGGAACTCTGTTCCTTTGTGTTATTAATAATATGGAAAAGTGTGAAAAATTAGTTATACACATAAACTAGTGATTTATTCAAGTACAACCTATCTACAACAAGATACAACATTTCCAAAATGTACCGGATCCTGACACACTCGGACAGTACGTCTTCGTATTTAGATTTCGAAGCGCACGTTAAATGTCTAAATGATCATCGCGAACGCCACAAGTCGAGTCTGCTCCGTTTCACCTTATTGTCTTGTGTGTTTAGCTACCTGGGCCTAGATTTTCGAAGCTCTCTTAGAGCTAAGATGATTGTAAGTACCATACATTAACATAACTTACAACCGTCTTAGTTCTAAGAGAGCTTCGAAAATCTAGGCCCAGGTAGCTAAACACACAAGACAATAAGGTGAAACGGAGCAGACTCGACTTGTGGCGTTCGCGATGATCATTTGGACATATTACGTGCGCTTTCGGACACGATGCGAGTTAATATGCCTTTGTTATCGTTTATATCCTCTGTGCATTTAGACGGGACCAATTGTAATTTTAGTGCTGACTTCTACCAGTGTTGCTGGCTAATAGACGTAACGTACGCTGTGAAACTTCATCTTATATTTTCTTACGGAAAACCTGCTTTGTTTAATTGTTATAGAGTTATTCAATCCTTAAACTTTGCTGTATCTCCGTCAGTGGGCCTCAGTGAAATCTGCCTGGTCATGGTTTTCCCAGCATCAAGTGTTGGAACACCAGTAACGCCTTTTTTAACAATTACGATTTGATTTGTTTGATAGTTACGCCAGCCAAGGCCACGTATAGGTTACTTAAGTTGGGTGAGTGGTGGAGTGAGGTAGGTAGGTGAGTGGACAGACACACAGTGAGTTAGAAGTGAGAGTTAGGTGGGTGGAGTGAGTGGGTGGGTGGGTGGGTGAGTGACAAAGAGGAGTAAGGTAGGTAGGTGGAGTGGACAGACACAGAGTGAGTGAGTGGAGGTAGGTAGGTGGAGTGGACAGACACAGTGAGTGAGTGAGGTAGGTAGGTGAGTGGACAGACAGAGTGAGTGAGTGAGGTAGGTAGGTTAGTGGACAGACACAAGAGTGAGTGAGCTAGGTGAGTGGACAGGTGAGTGGACAGACAGACAGTGAGGAGTGAGGTAGGTAGGTGAGTGGACAGACACAGTGAGTGAGGTAGGTAGGTGAGTGGACAGACAGTGAGTGAGTGAGGTAGGTAGGTGGTGGACACAGACACAGAGTGGTAGGTGAGTGGTTAGTGGAGTGGACATACACAGGAGTGAGTGGAGTGAGACACAGAGTGAGGTGAGTGGACAGGTGAGTGAGGAGTGAGGAGTGAGGAGTAGGTAGGTTAGTGGACAGACACAAAGAGTGAGTGAGTGAAGTAGGTAGGTGAGTGGACAGACAGTGAGGAGGTAGGAGGTAGGTGGAGTGGACAGAGTGAGTGGGAGGGTAGGAGGTGAGTGGACAGTGAGAGTGAGTGAGTTATATAGGTTACTTTTTAGGTTACTTAAACCAGAAACCATACTCCGGTTTAACCTTGAGCTGTATGGAGTGAGTGAGTGATTAATGCTCAACGCCGCATTAGCCATTTTGAAGCTATAAGGGCAGCATTTTTGTTTTCTGTGTTGCTCATCGCCCGACCGACCCTTCTAAGTTTACCCTTCTAAGTATACATACAACTTCGTGCCCAGCCCCCTCTAATACACAAAATAATATCCCACCAAAAGGTTGAAAATTCTTCATTCAATAGCAACTAAAACTTACAAAGCACATTGTTTCACTCGAGTGAGTTGGCGGTTTTATATTTTCATATAACAAAGGAATTCTATCAAGGAACAACAAACAATCCAATAATTATTTTTCTTTTAATGCCTTACAAGCTGCTAAAATAGGAATTAATATAATGATAAAAACAAAAAACAAACAAAACCCCACGAAAAGTATAAAAACCGTGGTTGTGAAAAACATATTAATGCAGACAGAGTCAAAGAGATACCATGACACAAGTTAATACTAAGTAACATGGAATTAAGAACTACGAGTAATATTTACATAATGATCAGCATAATGAATAGCACCAGAAGCGGTAATGGGAATGCCGTATATGAAAATACAATACCAGTCATTTCTTTTTTTCAGGACTGTATTCAAATCCCATGGGACCTTGAGTGTCACGCGGCAAGAGACGTGTGTTTTTATACGACCTAGATTCGTTTGACAATGCAAATCTCGGTTACGACAATCGTAATTCATATATGTTGACGCGAAACAGGAATCAGTGTGATCTCGCTCAGGTCTCTCGTTTGAACCACACACCGGTGTATGTTTTCCCTTTTTTAATAACATCATGAACTCTTGATGAAGACTAGATTCTGAACACATTCATCTCAAAGGTCACATCTTGATAATACATCGTGACAGATGCTTCAGTCACGATTATCTTCCTACCGTCTGTGTAGGTCACGTATACATCGTACACAACAGGGAGGCCGAAGTGAGACCTGAACGTACAAATACCTCGACTACAATCTGACATCCCAAGTGTACTGAACTGTGGGACATTACATGCTTCAGTCAATAGGGACATGACCTGGCTTATAATCGATGGACAACAGAAATTCAAATTCTTACAGACATCACATCATTCATCATAGCACGGAAGACATTGGTCATGCTTAAGCTGCGTGAGTATATCGTAACTGTAATGAAAGTGCTTCACAGCGTAACCGTGCGTAAGGAAGGTGAAGTTGTAGTTGGTTGACGATGGTGGACGCCGTTGCAGCTGTACGATCAAAGTTTAGTAGAGTAACATTCATATCCCAGACTCTCATACCCCTTCGTTAATTCGTCAGTTGTGAACACCCCTGGAGGGGCTAGGTTCTGCTGATCCATTTCGTTCAAAGGAAGTTCTTCTCCTGTTTCCTCTTCCCCCTTCAGATCTTCCTCGTCTGTTTTTGCCGCTGCCACATAGGCAGACAGAATGTCGTAATCACTGGCCGAGTTTGGCTCGTCCCCTAGTTCACAACTCGTCTCATCCCAGACTTTGCTGCTTCCGCCGCTCTCATCCTCATCTGGGGCAGCTGTCCGCTCGCTGCTTCCGCCATTCCGGTCGCTGAGTCCACCTTTCCGCTCCCCGATTCCGGTCTTCCGCTCGCCGTGTCCGTCGTTCTGCTCACCGGTTCCAATACTCTCTTCCACCTCAGCCAATGTCGTCTGCTCGCTGACGGTCGCTGACAGTGTATATTCGGGAGGTGTAGATTCTGGAGATCTGAGTCGGGTATAATCCGACGCCGTTGGAACCAGGGCCTGATATTGTGGAGCATTCCGGGCCATGGCGTCAGGGGTCAGACTTCCTCGTCCGCTGTCGATGCTCTGGCGATGATTTGCTTCCTGAGCTATGGTCTCCTACAAGGAGATGTATAGATTGTGTTATGGGATAAATCGTTATGATGATGATGATGATGATGATGATGATGATGATGGTTGTAACCATGATCATTGTTGCCCAACGTTATTGTGTTATGGTACCACGCTCAACAATATTTCAGCTATACGTCGGCCTGTAAACAATCGAGTTATATCATGAGCACATGCGGCACGATAACACCCGATCATAAAATTTACATCCATTAACATTACAACCAGTATGGGGTTGCTGGGATTCTGTACTTCGTAGTTGAAGACTGGGTGTTGCTTTACTCCGCTCGTAGCATTATTCTAGCAACATTACGGCGGAGGACAGCAAGAATGGGTTTCATATTGGGCCAGTATTATTGGCAGTGGAACCAGGGTCTTCTACGAGAAGAGAAGAAGTAACCATTATACTTTCCTGCCGGTTTATCCTTGCAGCTCGCATACATCTTTCCGAGATAAACATCGCTTCACTGTTACTGTGGACGTTTGTTTCAGTTCTACAACTTTAGGAGTGCAAACTCGGCGATGGAAAATGGCGACGCCATGTTTGTCCGTGAACACTACACGTGAGACATTTTAAATTTGCATAATTATACCCCACTGAATGCTATCTCGATGAGAAACCTACCCACTATGCTAAACAATACTATTCTAGTGAATGTCAGCAACTCTTGAATTCATAAACGACACCTCGCTATACTAGTGAGTAAAACTACATTGTTATGTAAAACTTCTGACGACTTTCAAACACCGTGAGTAAAATAATACATCAGATAACATTAGGACATCGTGACTAAAACTACTTTGTTATACACATATCAAAAACTGAAAGTATTTTTTAATATAAGTGGAAAACTATAATGGAAAATGAATTGTTAATATGAAATGATTTCCTGAAATTCCAAAATGAAAGATCCCCTTCCTTTGTGGGTGATATCAAACCAACAGATAATCCAACGAACATATATGAACTACGGTTTTATGTTCCAGAAGATATGCGTTTTCAAAAGGTACATTGTATTCCTGTGAACTGAGAGAGTGAGTGAGGGGTCCGTGGGTGCAGTAGTTGCACAGTGTTATCATGTAACGATAATCTTCACAAGCAATACAACACAGATTCGAACCCTAATGATTGTGTCCGGTCAACTTCTCAATAAAAGTCACCCAGTGCGTCAAAAGATATTCGGTATTGTAGGATCGGTATTGTGAACAACCAGTGAAATACAAACCCCATCCCCCTAAGTTTGCAAACAATTTTAAATGGCCAATAAAAGTCACACTGATTTGTTTGTAGTGCAATCAAAAAAGTAAAAATAAATATACATCAATATGGCTGGCTGGATAAATGGACCCTACAACGTTTTGGCTTAACAATTCTTCGGAGGCAGGACTAAACATCATACAAGGCCTTCTAACATCTTCATACAT